AAGGAAACTGAAATGTTTCTATTCTATTGTTCTTCAACATGATTTTCTAAATCTTTTATGGGCAGAGTAAAGCTGTTAAAGCTCCAGACAATCAAAATAATTTGGAATTAGGCTTAGAAATAGTGGGAGAACTTGAAAACAACATTGTCTGAAGTTTTTCTACATTTATCCTGTTGGCTATATATGATCAACACATAATGTCTCGTGCAAATTTCATATTAAGAATTCTGTATTTTACAGAAACAATATTGACAATCTCATTATTCAAAAACATAAGCATGGCCACTGAAACCAAAGAAATGAGAATTAAATACATAAATTCATCTGCTGTTCTTTTTATTTATGTATCTTTTCAGGTTTTTTTAAATGTCCTTTCTTCACATTTCCCAGTTCTGCAAAGCTGAAGAGTTGCTGCATATTTTTTATTTTAATAGAACCTCAGATTCTTGTGTAGTCTCAAAGTTCCCAGCTCTGGAGAAAAAAAAGTACAATTTAAAAGCTCATAAGTCGATGATAACAATCATAATTAAATGACACTGAGAAAATAAATAATTCTAGCAAATATGTATACGAAATTTCAATTTTAAAAAACACTGTCAAAGTACTTTACTCTGCAAAATAAGACAATTGCATCACAATGCATGTTTCTTTACAAAATAGTTGCTTGGAAAATGCTACATTGGTTGTATTTGTTATCAAAGAAATTGAAGATGAGCTGACAACACAATACACCTACCTTGTCTTCAGACTTAGTGGGACTATTAGTTCCAGCTTCCACAGTAGTAATTTAACTGACTAGGGGCAGCTGACACTTTCACGTAACTCTTTGGCTCTTCTGAGTTTCCTGAAATTTTCATTCTATATCTTCTCCCCATTTTTTTCTCTCTGAGTGGTCAAGTATAAATAATGATTTGTAATTAGGTGAAAAAGAAATTAGGCTACATGCCAGTGAAAAGATCCTAAAAAAGTGAATGTGGTAAAGGTATTGGAGATACACAATGCCTTGCTCTGAATACAGTTGCACTTCTGCAATATGAACTGGACAAGCAAAGACATGCTGCGATGCTTAGGTTGGCCCATCATTCCCATTTCTCAGGACACTCAGACTCTGTACAAAAAAGAAAGACCTGTTACATGGACTGTTAAAAAAGAACTGGAAAATGTTTTGTAAAGCATAATCTTACATAGGCTGAGAGACTTAGAGGAGCAACTGTTTGGGTTTTTTTGCTCTTCTGATTTCTTTTCCTCTGTCTGAGTGTCCTTGAATATTCCAGAAGACGGAAAGAATCTCTCAGAGTAGTTTTAGATCAGGAAGCCAGTGCTGATTATCTGTTTCAAATACACCCTGTAATATCTGGTTGTTTATTATCCCATACAACAAAGGACAGAACAAACTAATAGTGCTGTAGAATCAGAAACTAAAAATCACTTTTCACTGAAAAAGTTGATACAGTTCTTTGGTGAGTTAATTTGAGTTGCTATTTCTAACCTAACACAGATTATAAGAACACCCACAGAGACCTATCATGGTGTTTTGTAGCTATGCTGTATATGCACAGGTATTAGTGTTGCTGGCAAGGGACTGAATTTTGTCTTCAGACAAATAAATACAGGGCCTGCCTATCTGGATCTTAATCGTTCCTGTGCTTCTGAAGGCAGAATAAGTGATAAACTACAGGGATGGTATTCAATGATTCAAAAGGAGACCTCCATCAGCTGTTAATGTTAGGATTACAAAGAAGAGGTACTCAAACTGATGTACACCTAAGAACTGATGTTTTAGATAGATACTTGCACATAGTGAAGATATTTAATGCTGGCATCTTTTTTTACCTTTCTGACAAGATGATGCCTAGGAGTGACAGCTAGAAAAAATGCACTAGGGACGTCAGATGCGCTTTCTTAGCATTTTATTCCTTAGAAGGTGATTAAACTTTGACTCTTTTAAGACAAAATAAGTAGTTCTATAAGATGTGCTTTAAGTAGTTCTGTAAGATGTGCTTTAAAGACATTTTTGGGATAAATTTTGTGGCTTATCCTGAGGGTGTCAGGAGAGGTTACCGTAGGCAGGATATTCTTGGTGGTTGAGTCTCTTGCTCTGCTGCTCCATATCATCACATTCTTCCAGGGGAAGGCAGTCTCATTTGCATTGCCTTAAGGATGCTTCCATTACTGGTAGTTCTGTTGTAAGAGAGTATTTATAATTAAAGCTGCATTTGCCTGTAGGAGTCAAAAAGCCTTTTTAAAAATTTCCTCTGACACATAATCTGACTTCTAGATTTCTGAGCTGTCTCCCTCCCTGACTGATCTTTGAAGTGTGAGAGCTGGTTCAGAGCTGGAGAAAAGTTACTGAGATAGCAGGGGCAGTGCCCCATAGAAATATTGAAGATTGTTTTGGGTATCTGGCTGGTTTGTGTCACTGGTAACCTCTTGGTTTTATAGAATGGTAGACTGGACATTATAAAGAACTAGATGAAGTTTGCTTGGGTCCTCAGGAGCTTAGCTTCATTCTATAGCCAGGGTGCTATGAATGGACGAGCACTGGTGTCTCATCTCTTCTATTCCCCAGAGACTAAAGATCCCTCTGGCACAGGCAGCAACAAACACAAATACACGGACATTTTTGCTTTTGCCTGTGGCAGGCCCATAAAATTTTGTGCCTTACACATAAGACTCACTCATCCACATTTTCTTTTCTCTTCCCTCACCATCATCTATAGGATCAGTAACTCTCATGTTTACAGCATGATGCCACAGCTTTTCTTTGTCTTTCTTACACCATGAAGCAGATGTTACTGATCAGTCTGCCAGGCAAATGTGTCTGATGTGCCAAGCCCTGAAGTACAAGGGAAAGTGTGGTGCTCAGCCGGTTTCAGGGAGTGCTTGCTTCGCTCCAGCTCCAGCTTCCTGCTGCACTCCTTCCCACTCCACGTCACCTGATGCTCAGGGCGTGCTCCAGTCACGGGACTTGACACTGAGAGACTACACACAGAAAGTAATTAAAAAGTTGAGAGGTCAACAAGTCATTTATAACATGTTCTTGCTGGGGACTCCCTGTGGCACTGTGAAGGCAGGGGGCAAGGGAGAGACTAAAAAGAAATGCTGTGCCAAGGCTATAGTTAATTTTACTTTTTTGTTTTTAAAGGACATTTTTAAGCTGCTATGAAAACCAAATAAATACATAAATACATACAAAACCAGGGAAATCTCAGTGCCATTACATACTCCATGTGTGACCAGCAATGTGAAATACTCAGTTCTACTTACATTATCCACGCTGGCTGCTTCTCTCAGATATGCTAAGAAGAGTATAAAAATGCAAATATAGCTATGCTCAAGTTAATGACAAATCTCTTATTGACTTATATGGGATAAGTTTCAAGGACTTTGTAAATACCTATAAAATGGGGCAGTGATGAGCAGATTATCTCAGCATGAAAAGCTGTATTCCATTCTCAGTCTGTGGCTCTAGCCAGCCATACTAGTCTAGAAGTTTACATGACAGACTGCTAATTTAGAATGACTGTATTACTAATTGCTAGATTAGATATTCCGAGGTGTTCAAGGTTGGCTCTTAAATGCTTGCTCATGGTCTAACCTGTTGTTGGGTATAAGAAAGATTTATGGTATAATAATTTGGTATTAAAATAGGATCATGTAAAAAGTCTGAGCAAATATATTTGAAGTGTATTCAACACCTTTGGCTTTGAAAGAAACCACAGAATTTCAGTTCTGTTTTATACCAAAAGCACTGTTACGTACACTGTTGCTGATTATTTTCCTTGTTTATCTTAAAAGAATTTCAGGAAGGTAACAGAAATAAACTGATTTATTATCTGACAGCCTCAGTCAAAGTTTCAGTAGAAAAACAGAAGCTGCTATAGATGTGCACAAACACCCCAAATTCAGACCGATCACACTCAGTACTTTATTTAACTTTGCCTGTTGATTCCTTTTATCTTGCAGTTCTCCTTTGTGTCCAAACTTACCCATAAGGCCTGTGGGGTTTTTGCCTTCCCTTCCTTCTACTGGGGAACAATATCCTGGTGTCCTTCAGTGTGTGCCTTTTAGTGATGTGATTTATAATTTAGCTTTGATTCCACAGGTCGGGGATGTGGCCTTCAGTTTTGCTAATCCTTACCTGATGCAAGAGATTGCATCACATAAAGTACGAATATGTTGGGCCCCCATTTGAGGAGCCATATGACAAGGTGGGAATGGGCAATGAGACCTGTACTGCCTGGGAGCAACATGTCTGGGGCAGACCTGGGGTGCTTTGGTGTCCAATGCCGGGTGAGTATGAGCAGACAAGCTTTGTGCTGAGTCTACTCTGAGTAGAAATGAAAACTTTGGTCTGAGGGACTGCAAGACATTTTTGCCACCACAAAGAGTGCTTTGATGGTAAAAGCTAAAGGAATGAAATTGGTAACTTATCACAGAAGAAAATACACCCTTGATTTATGGGCCCAGCCAGCAGAGATGGTGTGGCAATGTAACCAGAAATGTAGGTCAATGCAAACATGAAGTAACCATCTGTTTTCCTCTAGGCTTTAATGGACCTTATATTTTATTTCTATTTTAAAGAGTTATCTTTACAGTCCATTTGTCCACTCCCCTTCCTTCTCTCAGCTCATCCTTGTGATAAAGAGTTAGTGCCCTTATCAGGCAAGGTTCCAGGTAATACTCCAGTTTTATAGCCTCAGACTCTCTGTGAGCAAACATTCACAGCAACCTTTAGCCTCTCTCCTTTCCTGACTTTTGCTGTTGCTAGTTTTTCACAAAGAGAAGTGCCACCTAGTACAGCAGAGGGGCAGGCAGAGGTGAAGGCAGGGAGCGGGATAGGGAAGTGCCCAAGAGAAGGATCGTACAAGCTGAACTTACGGCGTGGAGATCTCTTTCGTCCTATCCAGGAACAAAACCAATGTAGAATATCTGAAAGAAAGAGTATTGGAAGAGAAAAAGAAAGGAAAGAGCAGGAAATGGGTCTAAACTAAGCAATAATGAAGCAACGGATGTTGGGTCTGGCCCTTTGGCCTTTGTTTTTCTCACTCCAGCTGCTGCAGCAAGTTGGTTCAAATGAATGTGGCAAAAACAGCAGCTATGTGATCAATGTGATGCTCATGAATTACTCGGACTTCCCATCATCTACGGATAATTTGAAATTAGCTGTGAAGCATGCCTTGAAAAGGGTACAAAATGAATTGCAGATGGCAGGTAAGGCAATGGGTATAGGTTAACCCTCTCCTGCTGTGGTTTCTTTTCAGACTTAGTGCTGCAGCTTTCTACTCATCTGACCTTCAGCAAACTGCTCCTCAGACAGGCTCCTTGCCTGTCTGTTCACTTTATGTAGATGTTACAGAAGTAATGACTTCCTTCTGTAAAAACAGAAGTGCTCTACAGATTGGCAGAACCATATTTGGTTTCATGGTGTTTGGGCAGACTCTTTCTATATGCTTTTCTGGAGATGTTCAGTTGGGATTGGGAACATGGGAATTGCTCAACTGGATCAGACAAGACCAGTGATCCATCTAGTGCAGTAACTGGAATGCCCTTGCTTCCCCTCCTGGTTGGATTAGCCTCTACTTTCTGAAAATAACTTTCCTTTTGACCACATCTGTTGATCACATTTTGACGTGAAGTGTGAAGAATCTGCAGTCAATATGTTTTCCCCTCATTTAGAGTCACTGCATATAACTCTTTGATTTATTTTGATATCTTACCTCTCCTTTCAATATCACCAATCTACTGTCACTCTAGAATATGGGAAAAGAGAGGTTCCAAAGAAACTATACCTATTCATTTTCTGCCCTCTAGTTGAAGAGATTTTGTCCAATTTTATTGGAAAGTGGTCTCTCAGTTACTTCCTTCAGAGCCTTAAAAATTGGCTCTAATAATGGCGAACACTAAAAGTACTTTGTACTGAAAGTACTAACACTCAGCAGAAGTCATCAGCAGTCCACACTGGAGCAAATTTTACAATCTTATCCTAGGTTGTGGGGTTTAGGTGATAGGTGGACTGTCTAGCAGCTTTTTGGTGGGAGATATCCTAGCATAAGACTGCTCAGACCTGTGTGAGAAGAGGAGGGATACAGCGCATTAGTGATTATCTGCTACTCACAATGATGTTTACTTTTATGTTTGCGTTACAGGAGAAAATGTTACAGTTGAAGCCACCTTCCACCCTTTTACCTCATCACTCTATGTCTCACAAGGTTGTCGTACCAGCACCTGTGAAGGTGTGGAGCTCATCAAGCAAATTTTTGTGAGTAGCAGGCTCCTTTAAGTTGATTTCCTTAGAAGACAAGATATTTTTTTCTTTCTGCATGTTTGTGTGCATGTCTCTCTCTGTCTTTCCTTATTAACTTTTGATCCTGTTGTTTAATTCCAAACAAATCTGACAGGGAAGTGAAGTTTTCAAAGAGAAGATGTTCCTGTAGGTTTTGTGAAGACAAGCAGGAAAATACTGGAGAGAGAGTCTATGAATGCTTCCTGGAGGCTGCCATTAGACATTTGGTGGCACTGCCGGCTAAAGCAGCCTTCTGCTTCAGGCTCCTTTTCCTATACTTAAGTTGTTATCTTTTTTATATCTGCACAGCTCTTTGTGTGGCCACATAGCCAAAAAAATTCATAAAAAAAATCCCCAACCAACCAAGATAACCTCAACTTCAAACACTCAAACAGCCTAAGCAGAGCAAAAATGGTCTCTTTCCAACTGGATTAGACCCTGATCTGGTTCACCATCAATTTACACAAGCAACCTAAGGAGAGAGCTGTGCAATGATGGGAACATGCAGGCAGAGAGGTTATTAGGCTGGCCCTGATACCAAAGAAATGCATGTGGAACTATGCCCAGAGAGCAAAGATGAAGTGCTTACTTCTCACTAGAAATCACGGAAGTCATGTGGGAGAAACTATCTGAATACACTAATATGGGGAAAAGCTTCACTTAGAATTGGTGCCTTGCAAGAAGCCATGTTTCAGTGGATTTTGTCGTGTCTAGTAACTGTCACCTCTGAGTGAAGTTGTGTCATTCTAATGTGAATTCTCAAATCTACCAGTGTATGAGCACATGCACATATACTTTCTTTGTTAAGAAGTCCCTAATGACACAAAGCTACTGGTCAGGCCTCATTTTGTGGTCACAGAGGGATATATTTTTCATACAAGCTTCATATGCACATAACTAATCATTTTTCTGACACGCAGAATCTTGTGATTCCTACATCTCTGTCTTCTGCAAATGGAAGCACTGCTGGAGTGTGTGATTTCATGAGTGCAATTACAATTGCAACACTGTAATCCTAACTTGCTATCTGTCTCATAATGAAACTCATACTTGCAGGCACTATTCTGTCCTCTGCCTTTACTTAGCTTTCTGTGATTCCTCCCTCCTTCACTCTAGGATTGTTCTTTTAACCTTCCTGTTCTTTTAACCTTCCTGTAGCTCCTTTGCTATTCTATTCTTGCTTGTGCTGAGTAAATGATGTAACTCCTTCTCAGATCCTCAAGGTTTCTTCATTCTCCCGTCCTCTTCTTTCTGCCAGTCCTCTGCACCGTCCCCACTACTGATCCTTTCTGGTCCCTTGCAGCGTTCTGGCAGGCTTGGCTGTGTCATCATAGGACCCGCTTGCACTTATGCCACCTACCAAATGGTCTCGTAAGTACCACCTCTTCCCCCAGTACTGTGATGTTAAAAACATCAACATCAACAGCTGGACAAAGTTGTTTTGTGTACAACCAGCCAGCAGAGACACTGAGGTTTAGGATGCATCAGGCACCTTGAGGTCTACAGTCAAGGCAGTAAAACACTTATGCATAGCCACTATGTTTTGTAGGGAGAAAAAAAATCCCCTTTCAAAGTTCATTGAAGAAATCCCATTGCTAGCAGGGAAACTTTTCTAATTGCTGACAGTAAGTTGGTTGACTGATTACAGGCTCGAAAGATTTAACTCTTCAGCAACTGCAGCAGGCAAGAGATGTTAGCTTGAGACATGTGGACATTGCAGTGCTGCAGCAACAGGGGTTCTTCTGGTGGGTGTCCAGTCATCGAGAAAGCCCTGAGTGACATGTGTTGAGAGCATTTCCAAAAACCCCAACCATCTTCAGCAGAGAGTGTTTAGATAGGGAGTATTCAGTTTCATCCTGGCTCTTCTGCCTCAGGACACATACCTGAAAAATTAATATCTCTACTATTATATTATACATGAAACTGTATAATTCTATTCTATAACATATATTAATTTGTTCATTCTCAGATATTAGGAAAAGTGTAAGCTGAATCTGCAGACTTCTAGCATAAATCAGTTTAAAAACCTACATCAGTCATGACATACAAATCCATATTGTTACCCATGTGAATCACTTCTCTTTTTAAACTTTGGTAGCCTTTTGGTTTCACTGAGAGATACTGGGAAGATTGTGACACTTTTACCTCAAGCTTTAGAACCATAGAATCATAAAATCATTGAGGTTGGAAGAGACCTTTAAGATCATCAAGTCCAACCATCAACCTAACATCATCATGCCCACTAAACCATGTCTTGAAGTGCCACATCCACAAGTTTTTTAAACACTTCCAGGGATGGTGGCTCCACCATCTCCCTGGGCAGCCTGTTTCAGTGTTTTCAGTGTTTTTTCAGTTATTTACACTTTCAGTAAATAAATTTTTTGTAATATCCTATCTAACCCTCCCCTTGTACAACTTCACCCCATTTCCTTTTGTCCTATCACTAGTTACATGGGAGAAGAGACCAACACCCACCTCACTACAACCTCCTTTCAGTTTGTTGTAGAGAGTAACAAGGTCTTCCCTCAGTCTCCTCCAAACTAAACAATTCCAGTTCCCTCAGCTGCTCCTCATAAGGCTTGTTCTTCCAGACCCTTTATCTGCTTTTAGCTCTATACTTTTGTTTGAGTGACATGACCAGAAGCGGATACAATGTTACTGGTGAATGCATGTGATTGACTTATAGAAGAGTCAAAACAATAAGTCTTACATATGTGTAGGACCATGGTAAAATATTATGCAAAACTGGTGAAAGTGCTGGAAAGCATGTCCTGTGAAGAGCAGCTAAGGATTTTGGGATTGTCCAGTTTGGAGAAAAGGAGACTGAGGGATGACCTCATTGCTCTCTACAGCTTCCTTAGGAGGGGAAGCGGAGAGGGATGTGCTGATCTCTTCTGCCTGGTATGTATTGATAGCATGCGTGGTAACGGTCCAAAGCTGTGCCAGGGGAGGTTTAGACTGGACATTAGGAAGCATTTCTTCACTGAGAGGGTGGTCAAACACTGGAATAGGCTTCCTAAAGAGGTGGTTGATGCCCCAATCCTGTCAGTGTTTAAGGTGTATTTGGACAATGCCCTTAATAACGTGCTTTAGCTTTTTGTCATCCCTGAATTGGTCAGGCAATTGAACTAGATGATCACTGTAGGTCCCTTCCAACTGATATAGTCTAGTCTATTCTAAGTCAGCTAGAAAAATGTCCATTTCATTAGTGAAATACTCTCCCTGGTATTACTTATACCATCTATGTCTGTTTCTGTTCCAACAAGTATAAACCCTGCAATTTGGTAAGTGGGCTTTACCTGAAAAATAATGCCAACAACTCTAATGGCCATGTTTTTTGCAGGCAAAATTCCCTGTCATAAAAAATCCACTATACATGAACTAAAACATTTTTAGTCTAGTCTGATAAGATTGCAACATCTAGGAAAATATTTTTATCCTTAAAAACTTACTGTTTCTGTGGATAGGAAATATATTTGTGATACAAATTTCTTGCCAGCAGAGGGTTACCTTTGTTTTTCTCCCTGACTATTGCTGTTGTACAGAAAGACTAAAAGACTTTTCCTTTGAGTTGTAGAAGTAAAGCTTTTTTGATGGCAGAAAGCTGTCACCCTCCAGCAGTGCTCCAATAAAGAGATCAAATCTATCCCATATTAATGGCAGCTGGGGAGCAGAATCAGATGGGTCCTTGAGCCTTTGGACTCTTGTCATAGCCCTTGGACTGAATGATGCATGGTACCCAAAAGGGTATGGGGAATGTGGGGCAGCGAGAGAAGCTGCCTGGACCAGTTCAACAGGGCTTTTCAGTATCAATACTGACTTGAAATCTGAAATCTGTTTATGTTCTTGAGGAGCCTTCTGTTTCAGGTTCAAATTGCTGTTAAACCAATGCAGGGCACAAGAGGAGAGGGGGCTGAGGATGGAAATCACGTGGTAGCTGCCTTGGCGCAACAGCAATCCATTCAGACTTGTCCTCTTGTCTCTCCCTTCAGAGTTGAAACAATACTGAGCCTGCCTCTGATCTCTGTAGGGAGTTTTGGACTGTCCTGTGACTACAAAGTAAACCTAACCCGCCTTCTGACCCCAGCCAGGAAAGTGAACGATTTCTTCTATTATTTTTGGAAAGAATATCAGCTGCCATTCAAAACCACAAGCTGGGAATCTGCCTACATTTACAAGAGGAATGAAAACTCAGAAGCATGCTTCTGGTAAGATCCGGATCTATCTCTGACTTGGCTGTTGATAAACTTCATCTTCATCCTTGGACATGGTTCCTATAAGCTGTCCTTTGAGTCTTACATTTTAGGAGACGCCTTATGACTACTATCAAGGAATGTGAGATAGAAAAGTTGAATTATATTGTTTAGCTCTACTGCATATCTGAATGTTTTACGCAGACTACTTTTAAGTATTCTCAAGCCTTGGCTTTTCCTGTGGACAGCATAGCTCACATATCGTCCTGGCTGGAAATACCCATTTACTGCATCCTTAATATAAATACTGTGACATGAGAAGCTCCTACATCAGAAGGTCAGGGGTCTTATTAAGTTCTCGTAATATTTCTTCACATTAATAACTCCAATCTGTGGGCACTATTGTTACTCCAAAACATTTCCAAATTTCAAACTGTATCTTTCTTTGAACAAAATGTCCTCCAGTGACTGCAGAGTTTATGCTGTGCTCTGATCAGTTTGGAGCAAAGAAGACAGTCGTCCTTTTGTGACCTGATACATCAGCCTGTGCTTGATTCTCAAGAATGCTGGTTTTTCTCCTTGCCTAAAGTCAAAGGCTGTTTTTCACAGAGTCACAGAATTATTGAGGCTGGAAAAGACTTCTGGGATCATCAAGTCCAGCCTATGACCTAGCATTACCACATCGGCTAGACCATGGCACTAAGTGCCACACCCAGCTTTTCCTTAAACACCTCCAGGGATGGTGACTCCACCACCTTCCTGGGCAGTCCATTACAATGCCAATTTCAGTCAAATAGACTCTTTAATAGACTGATATTTATAATTACTTTTCTACTATTGACTCGTACTTAATTCTTAGCTCATGTGTGTGTTTTTATGCTCCTTTGATTTTTTTCCAAATTTTGGAACATAAAATGCTGATTAATTTTAAAAAATCATCTTGTTTCTCCTACTAGTTGTATAAATGTTGCTCACAGGCAGCCAAGATTTCATGGAAATAACTACTATTTATCTTTCCAATTCATAACCTGAGGAACTTGCAAAATTTATGACTGTAATGGCTTCAGAGTGATATAAGCATGTACTTGCAGATTATTTTGTATACAAAACTAAATTTTTCTTTTTCTGAATTAAGGGGCCTAAAAACTGATCTCCAATTCACTGTTTTGTAGATATGTAGGGGCTTTTATTATCACCTCCTTCCTTTTTAGTATAGATAACAACTTGATCACATGATGTAATTGCTATGATTACCTCTCTTTGATGCTTTGAAAAATCTATTCACTTTGCTTATCTCTTACTACAATTCCTATTTTTCCATGTTGGCAGCTATAATTGCCAATGCGCTACACACAATTCAGCTTAATTCTGCAGGTTTTAGACCTTTCAGGGAAGTCAATGCATGTAAGTAATTTCCCAAGTGCTTCTTACTTTGTCCTTATAAATACTTCTGTTCAGAATCTTCTTTGTGACTTCAGAATTGTTCAAGCTATTTTTCGTTACTGTTGAATTAACAAAAAAAAATCTCATTCTGCTTTAATAGAAACTGTCAGCTTGAAGGTTTTTGAACTGTCTAATTTTAAAAAGTCCATTTTTGCTAAAGCACAAATGATACTGCATAGGCTAATTGTTTTCCCCATATATGTATAAAAATAATTGAATACCCACAGTAATAGCAAAGGTTATGTCTCAACTATGCATATGTTCCTATAAATTAATGGTTAATGATTCTGTTCCTGAAAAAAAATGGGAAGAAAAAGATATTTAGTAGTTTATAGAACTGTAATCTCAGTGTTGCTAGATGAAAAGTTAAGCAGTTTGAAAACAGACAGATTTCTTTTGGTTTTCCCTCTGCATTAATTTTATTTCAGACAGAATGTCTCTTCTCAGACACAACATGCTGAGGCAAGAATAGGATTTAGGAGTTGGCTGGTTTTGCTTGATCTTTTTGCTAGCTTTTACTCACACAGTTGAGTTTTTTTGCTGTCTTCATTTTTCCCCGTCAAGATTTTACTGACTCTGTATAGCACATTTTTGTTCCTACTTTCCTTCCTTTGCTTCTCTCACAGTCAAGACACAAGTACAGAAATTTTTTTCAGTTTTTTCTGCACCTCTCATTTACTCCTTTGAACCTTCACATGCACTTTCTAAGATTACCACTGATGTCTTAAAACAGCAGACCTTCCTGGCTCTACCTCCCAGTTAGCCTAACTTACTGTAATTTCCCCATATCCCTAATTTCTTTTCTTAATTGTTATTGTCTTATTACATCATTGTATTCTCCAACATTATCCTTTGTACAAGCAAAGTCAAATACCTCTGGGTAACTTTCCAAACACTTCTAAATCTTTCATGCCCTGTATTGATTTTATCTTTTCTATTGCTGCAGAAAAAAAAAGGTTTCACAGCATCTCCCAGACACTCTTGTGTGTTGTAAACAGCCTAGCTCACATTTTGTCTCATTTAGAAGAATACGACAAGTTAGCAATTTTCTGACAATATCTGTGCTCCCTTGTGTCAGGTACACGAATGCGCTAGAGGCTGGAATCACACACTTCTCTGAAAAACTGAAGTTCAAGGACATTTTAAGGACACCAGAGCAGCTTAGAAAAACTGTGACAGATCCAAACCGGAAAAGCAATGGTAAGAGGGGACTGAGGGTGTGCTGTCCTCCGCAGGTAAGTTGTTTTCCCCAGGAAATCAGACCTACCCCTTAGTTACATTTTAGGGATAGTCTTTCCACAGAAGTAGTGGAGAAACACAGATATACCATTTCACATGGATGCAAACTTAAAATGATACAAGCTTCCTAGGATCCTCTCCCCATCCATCTAAACTAGAAAAATGGATGAGTAAATAACTAATCTTCTCCTAAGCATCTGGCATCAGCAGGCCAAGTGAGTGCGAGAGTAATAAGTGAGCCAATAAAACTATTATTTGAATGCCATTTAAGTTAGAAATGTTCATATTCAGCAGTCTGTATTGCATCAGAACTGCTAATGCTTATTTGAGTGAGTTAATAGTAGTGCTCTGGTGCAGACAGAAAGTGGTGCAGACGTTGAGGTGCCTTTTACCACTTTCCCTCAAATATCCCAGTCTTACTACAGCTACTGGCTGTAGCCCTGTGTCTGGGTAATTGTCTTAGCCCAGCATTGCTCTACTGACTGCTACTCAAGCATGGGGGAGTAGGAAAATGTCCCCTTCCTGTCTGTAACTTTCACCAATCTGTCTACATTTTTGCCCAATCTGTAGTGATCATCATGTGTGGTGCTCCAGCTGACGTCAGCACAGACCTAGGGACAAGCGAAGTGGATAAAGACATTATTATCATCCTGATAGATCTCTTCAAGTAAAGTATTACATTTGTTTTTCCCGTTTTCTCTGCAGTTTGCTGAAGACTAGAGATAATGGAAATAGTCTGAGTGGAACTGTTTTGTTGAAGAAATGTTCTCTCACAAAATGTTTTTCATTGCTGTTGTTCCTTGTGTCTTGCCATTTATCTAAGCTGACTAGTGTTTAATTCATGGCATATCCTCAAAAACATTCCCTTTAATTCACATAATGTTTTTCTAAGGCAGTGACAGAGCTGGTAGCATTAAGGTCATCCTCTGGACTTCTCAGTGCAGGAAGCCATGACAGAACCACAGGGTCCAAAGGGAATGGTCAGGAGCTGTTCATATGAGACACTGTACATTTTTCATACACTCTGCCCAACCAGACGATTATGTAAATGTAGCTTACAGTATATTTTTCTAGGTTCTATTTATTCAATTTTAAATGATTTAAGAGTGGTGCAACTGTCTCTTCCACTTTATAACTCTTCCACTTTATAACTGTCTCTTCAACATCTTTATGACTACATAAATCTAACACTTCAGAGATGTTTCTTAGTATACAACCCAAGCTTTCTGTTGTTCAGTTTCATCTTTATATTACTAGTTAGAAAAATCTTTATGGATGAGGACTGATATAAACCGGCCTTACCAATGGTAGCCTCAAAAGCTTTGTCTGTATACAAGGACCAAGAGCTGATCTCTCTGGCCCTAAGCCTAAGTGACACAGCATAGCTCACATTCGTATGGCTAAATGTAGATGCCCAAACTGCTTTTTGGGTATGGCTCCAGTCACTGTAGCAAGTGACAGTCTGGGAGAAAGATAGTTGGCCTAGAACAAAGCCATGCCCAGGTCTGTGCTGACAGCTTAATGGTATGAATGACCACAAGGCCAATGTATGTGCTCAAGGCCAGCGTATGTGCTCATGCTTTGATCTTATTTATTTCACTGTTCGTGTAGCAAAAGAATCCATGAACTTTCAGGGCCTATGGGACTTCCCACCCCTTGCATCTAAAGCTGACCTTGACAGGGCGGAGCTGAGGCACTTTGGATTAATGATTTCAGTCATTTAACCTTTGGGTCCAAACTGGAGCCTGTGATTCAAGCTCTAACAGGATCTTCTTTGTCCTGTATACTTTCAGGTTCACCATATATATTTCTCAGAAGTGTCTGTAAGAGCTTTAGACTTTCCACCACTTTATGCAGGCACTAGAAATCCCCAGTTGCTTCTCCTGAGGCAACTGGCCACAATTCCTGTTTCTTTGCAAATACACAATGGGGACTCCATAAGTGCATGCTTTTACTTACTGCTGTTACATGTATAATTGTTGCCTCACAATAGGTGAGTGCGATTAGAGTCTTCTCTGCTGTGATATTCATGCTTCTGATATACCCAGCTACCTAAGCCCATTTTAGATGTCCTCCTTAAACTGCTACATACATCTGATTTTGTTATATATCTCAAATCATGTTCTTCTTGAAATAAAAACTAAACACAGACATGTGTTAGATCAAAACTCAAACTATAGGAGAAGACAGTAGGCAAGATCCCATGCTTCTCCAGGTGTAAAGTCCCTCAAAAAAAGTGATGGATTTAAATTTTCTTCTAGCAGCTCTGAGCCCTCTGGCAGCCAGGAGACAAACAGAGTGTTTAAGCTTCCCTTAGGGAAGGTGGGATGCTGTAGATTTATCCAGTCTGGTGGAGTCAATTGAAGTTTCCTTTTCACCTGGCTAGCTCAGTCCAAGCCTGAATGAAAAGCACTTCAAAAATCTTCAGGTTGAAAAGTGCAATGTGAAAGTCAGAAGGCTGGGGGAAAGGCAGGGACAGGGCTCTGGTGTCAGGGTCCCATTTAATAGCCATGGAGTGGAGCCTGTGATCTCCAAAAATTCTTAATACAGTACTGACGGAAAAAATAAAAGGATGATCAAACATGAATAATGAGAAAAGGCTCATACAGTTTTTTAAGTCAATCTAGCTACAGCAATGACAGATGCTGCCACTTGACACTAATATCTATTGCTAAATTCCTCTGTAACATGTGAATCCAGTGGTTGCCAGTCTGTGAAGATCTTCCAGATGGCAGGATGATGAAAGCAAAGATAACTGAAAGCTGCAACCTTTCCAGCTTGTTTTAGCATAGTTTTCAAGTTCACATAGGTTCCTCTGATTTTCCTAGCCCACTGAACTAAATAAATAAATGGATGATCTGCTCTTTGCATGTCTCCAGTTGCTTCATGCGCTCCTATTAAATGGTTTTAGTCCAAATCCTGCTGTGATTAATTCTAGCAGAAAATATCAAAATTAGAGGACCATGCAAAAAAAGTGCAGGAGAGCTCAGAAAGATGGACAATAACATGAAGACACTACAGATTGCAGTACTGTGGATTCCAAGAAGTGTCTCAGTTTTAATAAGTATGAACTCCTGCTTGAAAGAAAAGGAAGTAAAAAGGGCAGAAACCAAGCAGTTACAATAATAACAATAATTCACTGCAACCTTTGAGACTGCCAGATCTTTCTGATATTACCTTTTAATGTAGTTAAGCACAGAGGCTGGCATCAGGGAATCAACAAGACAGACAGTTTGGTCCTTGATAAAATTTTATTTTTAGAGCTACTGTTCTAATGTGTTAAATAGCGGTGCCACTGGGGAGAGAAGAGTGATTCTGTCATGGTTACCACTGCCTCTGTTACTGATAGTTCATGGGGTTCTTGTGCTTTGCTTTGCAGTAATGTGTACTTCAGGAACAACAGTTCAGCCCATTACATGCAGAATGTACTTGTCCTGACTCTGCCACCAGCTCAGAACAGCTTGAATACCACAAACACTGAGGACACCGTCCTGGTAACCACAGTATTTTATATCTGTTTATTGCATTCAGTTCATTCATGTTCATACACTAGGAAATGAAAACTAAAAGTGCAGCTGTAATCATCCCCCATAGTGCTTCTATGTTGATATTTTCTTCCATTATCTCAGGATGACATTTTGTTCTGCTGTAATGATGTAAAAATATAATATCATAAGGCGAACATGGAGACTCTCACATTACTGCTTTGTGAAGTTCAACTCAAGCATTTAATTTGCTCTGCAAGTGTCATGTTCATGGGCTATGAGGGAGACTGATTGGTACATGGCCTTCTGACTCCACTTCTGAGTGACTGACAATCCTATATGTAGCTGCAAGGCATCACTGAAGGGAGGTCTATAGGTGCAATTGAGATGTGAGCATGGAAACATCAAAACTATTAATTGTTGACTGATTTTTGTGTGAAGTTATATATAAACGTGGCAACCATTGCTGTTTCTGTCCAGGGGCTTTCCAGTTAAACTTCAAAAACAAGAACTTTTATTTTCTGTAGGAAATACATATTTTTTTTAATTTCCTGAAGAGCAGAAACTATGCAAACCCTGTATCTGCTTAGTGAAATTGATACTCCTGCTGTCTGTCCAGGAACCAGCACATGTAGAGTTCCTCCCAGGATTTGTGGCTTTGAGCTCCAGCTTTCCAGCAGGCAGCCTGAATCTTCTGACTGGATTTATTTGGCTTCCAGATCCCCCCAGCCTAGGCTCAATGCTTTTTCTGGGTGCCAGCTTTATGGCAGACTGCTAGAAATTCTGGCACAGCTCCTTGCCTCTGAGCTGTGGCCATCTGGAAACCCAGACTTGCTGGCACCACACCAGATTATCTGCACAGAAAGTCTAATCCAAAGCCAGGGGCCTTGGGTCCCATGGAGCAGACCTGTCCAGAACTTACAACGTAGAATATCTTGAATCCTTTGCCCCAGGATCAGCATACCAGACCTTTATGTTGGCCTCTTAAAAGTTTTCATCACCTCCGTGTTTTCATACACCAAAAATATATTTTGTTTGCCTTTATTTTTTCCAAGCGAGAACACTGTGCCATTAACCATCTACTCACTCAGTACTCAGGAGATTCTGGTCTTCCATGCTGGAGTTTTTGCCAAATGGAGACCACCAAATATATTGTAGCTTTAAGGCAGAAACATGAACTCTCAAATTGCTGTTTTTCTTTTTCTCCTATTCTAGATGGAAGATGTCTTTCTGGCTGGCTATTTTAATGCAGCCTTGCTGTTTGGACATATTCTGAAGAAATTTATCTTCTCCCAGAGCCCAGTGTCACCTCTCAGTTTCATCAATGAATCCCGAAATACCACTTTTGAAGGTAAAACAAGTACAGTCTTGTGCAGGGTTCATTAAATTGATGAGGGGAAAGAAATCTGTCATTAGGATAAGTCACTTCCACACTAAACAAGTCCAAGGCCTTCAATGAGTTTTGTTCCCGCTCTTTTTTCTTTTACTAAATTTTTTTCTAAGGATGTTATCTTTAATATTAGCAGAAGCACTGCATAGCAGTTGTGCAGCATCACCTTGGTGCACGCGTCTTCCTTCCCACCCAAGGAAGGGAATCAGGAAAAGGAAAGGAGTCCTGTGGGTTGAAATGGAAACAGAATTAATAAAATAATAAGAAAAAACTAATATTAATACCAATATTAATATAAGACACACAAAGTTATACGCAGCTCATATAGTGCTTACAAGCTGTGCACTCCCAGCAGTGAATGATGGATGACAAACACTGTGAGTGTCACAGCTCCAGTGAGATCGCGATGGTCACGTCAAATACAGGAGTAGGCCTTGGGAGCAGAATGATGGTGAGACCCTCCAGGATGATGACCATCAAAGAAAGAGGGACATCCCTAGCAAACTTCTCAATTTATAGTGAGCAAAACATTTATGGTTTATGGGATACTTCTGTTGGCCAACTTGGGTCAGCTGCCCTGGCTTTTCTCCTCCTAGCTTCTGCACCTGGCTAATTCAAAACTGCTAATGTCCTTGGTTATTATGGCAACCTGCACAACAGTGCTGGCCACAAACTAAAACGAAGTGTCTTACCAACTTTGTTCCCACCAAATCAAGTGCTGCATTTTTCTCAGGAATGCAGCTTTCCTAAACAGAAAACTGATTCTATGATTCTGTCCCAGTGAAGCCAGGACAGTATGCAACACAGAAGATACCTATGATAATTTGAAACATTGCCATTAACAATAGACTGAGGACCAGACTGCTTTCTGGGCTGTTGCGTCCTTCCTGCTGTTTTGAAGTACAAAGCACATTTAAAGAATATTGCTGCCTAAGGGGGAGCAGGAGAGACAGAGCTTCCCAGCCAGCAGAGATGGAAGAAAGGGATGAAGACCTGAAGTTGGTGTCTTTCTTTTGACAAAGAGCTGAACTCTCTACAGGGAGACTATTTGGAGAATGAGAAAGGAGCGGCAAGAGTGAAGCATATAGGTGGGTTTCAGAGTCCATGCTTCCTCCAGAGGCAACCTGGCATTCAGGTTGTTGATACACAACAGTGGCATTTCTAAGCTTTCCCCCAAAGGTCTTGTCTTTACTTTAGGCCAATACATATGAAACATGATTGATATTCAAAATGACTCTGAAGTCCACTTAGCTAAGCTTTAATGAAGTAGTTTCAACCTTTTTTTCAGTTTACAAAGCCATCATAGGCCTGGGCGCCTGCAGTGTGAGTATAAGCCAGCTGGCAATGGGTTGGGTCTTCTTAGTCAACCTTCTTGTTTCTCTCACAGGTTGTCTAGTACGATTGGGCTTCTGTAGGCCGCAGGCTTAAAATCACAGAATTCTATTATTAGGAAAAGACAGAGGCAAGACTTACACAGAGAAGTGACAACATTACCTCTCTGGGATCAAAGTCCCACCTGTCACTTCACATCAGAGATCTGTACCAAAATGATGACTCAAAGCTTTGTGTTTATGTCTCACCTGCTTTCAGCAAACACATGTGTAGAGGTTTCCCAGGTTTTCCTAATATGGCCTAACAGGTTTTGGACTTATCTTTGCTTTAACCATGGTATCTCAAACCTAGCAAAATATAGTTCATTAATTCCATATCTGAAATAAATCTTTCACTGTAATGCTCCACGTTAGTTATAGGTTTATTTTTAAAAAAATCCTAAAAATGAAAGGTGTTGAACCACTTTCATTCTTTCTTGTGGTGGAGACTGGTAGAGTAGGGAGTTCATGCAATAATTACTTTGATATTAAGAAGATGGACCATGAAAAACTTCTCATCAGTTTGTGAGGTGAAAAGGGAGAAGAGAATTCATAATCTAAAATAATAATGATGCTGAACTTTAGGAAAAATACAATAAGTCAGCAGCAGCAGCAGCAAAAGAGCAATCTGAAGCTAATCAAAAAGACTCTTCTGAAAAAAGAAGGGAAAAAATGAAGGTAAGACTTTCAAGACTAGTAGGACTTGGCTAAGCTTGTGCTTTTGGTGGAACAATGGCTTAATGAGAGCAAAGTCAAGCCATGCCGAGGGACTTAGGAAGTTCCCCCTTAAAATCTTTTGATTCTGCTCCATAGGCAATTTCTCAATCTGCTAATTTGCTGGCATGTAGGAGGTTAAAGGGAAAAAGAACATGGTTAAAATAATACTATTAGAGCCAAGCAGCTGGCTTTCAAAAGAGTAAGGGGAATGAAAGTATCCCTGTATTTCCTTTCTTGTGAATAGATTCAAACTGCAGGTGGAAACAAGCAATTTCCCTTCCCACTTTTAAAATGGTCCCTTCAAGGGAGGTTACTCTGACATTCTTGGTATGCTGAAGAAACCTGACAAATGTATTTTCCTCTTCAGTGCAGTCAGTTCAACAATTATTGGTTTATGTAGAGATAATGCAGCATGCTATTAAGGGAGAAATAGCACCACACTAAGTTGATATGTATTCTAGCATGTACATGAAGAAGCAAAATATCCCAAGCATCAGAAATCCTTTTATTTATCTCATCCTTCCTGCCACATATTTGTTTTTTTGAGAATGCAAGCCCTCTGACTAATTCCTTGTGTCTGCAGGTATACTGGGTCCTGTGACTCTAGATAAATTTGGAGACATCGATACCAACTTGACCCTGCTGTACACGTCACAGACTGGAAATCATGTACGTATGTCCAGGGAGCAACTGTTCGACCTTATATATGAAAGGAGAAACCAAATGTCCTGTACTATTGCATAAGAATGATGAAAATAACTACAACAGAAGTGGTGGCGTGCCAAGGCATGCTCTGCATGCCAGGAGGGGGTCATGAGAGGCATGCTGGAGGCTGACAGGATTGATGTCATCTGGTGATTCAGTAAGTGAAGTGCAGCTGGTACTTTGTGGGACTGATACATTTCTTTTCAGAGAGAGGGGAGGAATGAGGAAGAATATGGCAGCCAAACATACGGCTAAGCTGAGGAATGCACCACTGCAGCAAAAAGAGCAAGAATTACTTCAAGTTTGAGCAATACCATTATTAAGGATAGTTTGAAGCAAGGGACAAAAAAGGGAGAGCACAGCTGCTAACTGCATTTCTTCCCTCCTACACCCATAGTTCAAAACTCTTCTGTATTTCAACACTCAAAAGAATGAGACACGCATGATGATCACCAGTCCGGATTTTGTCTGGAAGAACCACAAGCTGCCCAGTGATATTCCAGGCTCTGGTGAGACACTCTTTTAACCTACCTTTTCTTTGAAGACAAGTCAAAGTCCTAAGGTGCACCTCTTGTGCAATCCATGCTACCTTCACAATGCCCCCAGCCAGTGACACCAGGAGCTGGGGGAAGAACAGCATCTTTCCTTACCCTGCCCCAGCCCCCCATGTTCACTGCATCTGTTTAGGCACTACCAAGTCTTCCATAGCATCCATATTGTACCAGTGATTGTGGGGAATACCATGGCGTGTTTTGGAAGAGGTCACCCCCAAACATAAAATGTTTGCTAGAAGATGGTGGTGGTGTGAATTGTTCGAAAATGTTCAGGAAAGGCAGCAGAGCTAAGGTTATGATGAGTTATCTGACTCTGCATTTCTGTATGGCTGATGTGGCATGGTGGCTTCTGCTTGCCCCTTTATCCTCATTGTAGGGAGCTGGGGAGGACACAACACTGTGCAGATTCAGGGTGTTTCTCTTAAGCGAGCTGGGTCCTTGTAGAAAGACAAAAAAAGGAGAAAACCAGGTTGTTGCTCTATTGCCACTCAGACTTTAAATCTGAAATCCCAGAAATCACCACCTCATTTTCTTTTTTGATTTTGGTGACTCCTGGATAGAACAGTTGAATCCCTTTGTAATTCAGCATAGCAGCGCACAGCCTTGTCAGTCTGAGCAGATGGTGACTGTTTCCCCGTGTAGACTGCTGCCACATGGTGATTGGCAATGGAAAGGTACGTTCTTCAGGGTTTGATATCCAGGATAAAAACTATTGCAGTGGGAGTGGCTGCAAGAGTTCATGTGCAGTGGGGTTAGTTTTCAGCTATGTCACTCCCATCATTGAGTGTCCAAAGGTGCTGTTGTTAAGGATCTCTGCTAAAGGGCTCCATTAGTTTGCTGCACTGCTTACCTCCACTAGGGAATATTACACTGCAGACAATAACTGGAGGAACAAACACCTTCTGATAACTAAAAGTACATTCACAGTAAGGTGGTACATGGATTTAAACACTTTTGATTCTCAGTAAAGTAAATCAGACAGCTTCAAATTAGGGCTGACTGCTTGGCCCCGGCCTTCTCAGTGTTGTTCTAGTCCCATTCTCATTCATTCCTTGGTCTCCACAACATGCTGCCACTGTCAGAGGATCTCTGTACCTTTAAAACATTTATCTGAGTACGTCCTTGTTTGAACTTGCTGCACAAGGGCAAAAGAAAAATGTTTTGGAATTGTAGAAATCCAGTGTCTACATGCTAGTAGCTTAACATTCATTGCTTAATGAAGGCCTGACTTTGTGGCCAAGCTATACTGAATCAAAGTAGTACCACCTCCCACAGGCACTTGATTATTTTGTTTTCACATTTTTAAAAAATAAACCTTCTTTCAGTGTGATTCTAAACAAATATATTCCCCCAAACGGCAACTTTTTATGGCCAAAGTTTAAGTAAATGTAAGTATGGCCAAAGCCAGTCAAAACTTTCCAATTAGAAATACACTTTTTCCTCCAGGGAGGTGAACAAACAGAGCAACCAAAGCCCTGCTCCTTCTTAAGCTGTAATTGAGAACTGTTGACTCAGTTCTGCTACCCTTCTTTCTCCTGGCATCCCTTAAAAAAAGGGGCTTCACCCACATTTTGCCATTATTCAGAAAAGTGGAACCCTAAATCTAAACACTAATAAGGTCAGCTTTCAATACACAAGCGTTTCTAGTTTCAGAAGACCTGCAAACGGTTAAATTGTGATGCACTCTCCCTTTGTGTGTTGTAATACTAAAAGCCAGGAGGTGGTAGCAGAGCTTCAGGAAGGGGAAATTGCAGTCCCACAGCACTTCCATGGGCAACCTCAACCTGCTCGTTGTTGAGCCGAAAGCCACTACTCACAAAGCTGACGTTTTAGACAATTTGTAGGAAATGGCTTTGCACATTCTCATGTCTATGTCATTTTATCGTGGCAACTTAATGTGCTTCCTTGGTGGAGGGAAACAGTAGTACTGACAGTTTTCAGTGAAGAGCATCAGGCTAACAAGAAGTTACTAGGAGGCCTTGAGACTAATGCTAGGATGAATGCACAGAAAGGAGGTGGAGAGATGTGATACACAGAACAAAAAATCAAAGCCAGAAAGCTGGGTCCAAAAGCCACAGTTCCTAAACTGAATTCTATGTCAGATGCAGACACGTCTTACACTGTTATGTTCAAAATCCCTGCCCAGATGGTGTTTGATTCTAGAGGGAACCAGTGTATGTCTTGTTGCTTTTTATTACTTAATTATTTTTTACACTTTATTATTTTCCTGTGTGCCTTTATTTTTGTTTCTGGGCACATGCAGAAGTGCATTAGCCTCAGTGAGGCTGAGTAGCTCAGCTCTTTTACTATCTATGGCCAACATGGCAATCTGCGAAACTAGATTTTCCTCTGCCTTCTTTGCCTGAGAGACCCGCACAGTAGAGTAGGTACACTATAGACATGTGGCCACCAGACAAAGCTCTGAACTAATGGCCTGTTGCTCTTCAAGGAAGTTGGTGGCCGCAACTTTCTTTCCCAGTAACCCTGAGCTTCAAGAACTGACCCAAGACACGCTTCAATTTGCTCTTCCACATTAAGATAATCAAAATTACAACCTTAAATAATCAGTTTCCATCCTCACCAGATCTGCCTGCCTGCTCAGGACTAGGACCCTCATGTGCTCTGTGATTTTGGGTCTAAGTCCTCAAATGCCTGAACAGCCTGATTTTCAAATTGTACAGCACCTGGCAGCTTCCAAGGACACTAATCTGGCAGCTTTGGGCTGCACCAGATTAATTTCCTTCTATAGCATGCAAATTTCATATTGAAGAGTAGAGTCCACTCAGCACCACTTGTCATCCCAACACGGTGTCTGCAGATGTGTTCAGAAATGAGTCTGCAGTCTTCAAAGCTCTGTCTACAACAACTACAGAATCACTTTAAACAACTGGACCAATAAGGGGAGAACCCAGATATGAGATGCTGAAAAGTCTGTGTATGCTAAAAGCTGCACCATGATTTTCATCTTGACCTTTTCCTGGATAACAAGTTCTTGTGAGAAATGCCTTTCAAATCCACAAGTGGCTGTATCAGCTGAAATTCTATGTGGAAGCTGTGGTCTTTGGATGTATCCCATCCTGAAGCAAATTATATCACTAAAGACTCTGAGTGACAGAGGTACAGGTAGTTGTGCAAAATTCACTGTCAGAGAGGCATGTCTTTCTCAATGGGTGGGTACTCAGCAGGAGTGGAAAGCAAAAGATATATGTTATAAAGCCTGAATCAGAAAGTCATCACTGAGTATTGTGTTTTATGATAAAAACTGTAGGAACCATGCCTTTGTTCCCCAGTTCAGAGAAAGCCTTATCCAAAGAAGTCAATGAAGACCCCCTTTTGCATTAAGCCCTGGGTATGCTGGGGGAAAACAAAGTTTCCTGCCTGCCAGTGACTCTGATTTCAAATGTTCAGCTGCTTACCATATCTACATCCCTATCTCACAGAGAACTGTACCCAGGGTTTGCCTCCACCATCCTCTTTTAAGAAGTTATCGAAAGGAGAAATTTGGCTGCTTAATTTTTAAAAATGTGGTTACTAAGAAGAGTCAGCTTTATTCCTGGACTGTCCTAGTTTGTTTTTTTGATGAGAACACCAGGAAACTCTGCTGCTGAGCTGATGTGAGATTTAGTGCTGTTAAATTCACCTCTCACCTCGGTGTCTCTACAGGGTGACCATGCCTCAGGTGGGGATGTAAGACTGCACTGGGTCATGCTTCATCTTGCAGTGAAAAAACCAGGCATGTGTCATCTCTAGGCAGTGCTGGACATTACCAAGCATGTCAATTTGGAGATTCAATTTTGAATATCCTTGCTTAGCTACTGTGACTGAGGGTAATTTCTTAAATATAATACTGTTTTTCAGTGCCCTCTCTCAAGTTGTTTATTGTTCAATTTTTCTTTTCTGCAGGCCCACACATCTTGACCATCGCTGTCTTTACACTCACGGGAATTGTGATTCTAGTTCTGATCATCTCTTTGCTGATTCTAAGGTACCAGCCCCTCTGGCCCTCTGTTTGTCCTTCAACAGTTTTCCTCCTAGGGCAGTGCCTTTGATCTCTCCTTGAAGAGCCATTCATTACCTTACCTGGGTGGTTGCCCTCAGTGTGAACTCTTTAGTATATGCCAAGAAATGTTTGCATACATAGCATTGTTATGTCAGGTTACTAATAAAGGAAGAAGATGCAGTAAGGCTCAGAGTTTTTGCATCTACTAAAAGGCTGTGATTCCTATACATACACAGAAACATGTCTCAGACCATTCTTCAGACTTTTTCCACTTACAGTGCATCTTTAGCTTCCTTGAGGTTCACTTATGTTACTTTAACCTATTGGTGATGTAAAAGTTCAATTTAGAAGGAGGTATTTGTCTTGAGTCACTGTAGGAATCAAAACACCATGAGGTGTTTTGGTGTTTTCATTGCATGGATCCATCCTCTCTTTCAGTTTCCTCCAACTCAGTCCAACTCTTCACATACTGACTTTTCCAACAGTAAGAATTTCATAAGTATAACACAGCTCAGCTTTATCATGATGGAAAAAGGAGAAATAGAAGTCAATGAGGTCTCCTTTTGCTGGAAGGAATGCCACTCTGTTTCCAAAGTATACAGTTTTCTTTCATATTTAAAACAATTGTCTTACCCGTGCATCTGTTGTCAGTAGCCCAGCATCCATCTTCGCTATATATCAGAGAACTTCAGAAAAAAATAAGTAAATCAGGTCTTAAGAAAACTTGATCAGAAACAGATACTACCCAGGCACTCTTATTTTGAGTGGATCAACCTGCCTTGCTAACTAAAGCTTTTCACAAGGAAAAAAATCAAAGATGAAACTATACAACTCTTACACATCCAGTGGTACTCAAGAAATGGAAGAGCTAATCATTGCCATGTCTAAGCCCTAACATATAAACAGACAGGTAAAGTTTGTAATGGCTATAAAAATTCATAAAAATTTGTCTGAAGGCAGTTTGGACTTGTTATAAAAGGCTCTGTACTCTTTCATATTAGCAGATGCAGAAAATCTAAAGATTCTGTTTAGATTATTAGATTATTATTGTATATGTATCACTGCAATATACCCAAGCATCATATACAGAAGAGATTCCTGAGAATTTTTTGGAATAAAACTTGCCCTTTTAGTGTTGAAATAATAGCAAACCTCTCAACTACAATTGCTACTGAAGTTTGTCCCTTAACAAGCAAAGGAGAAGTGAGACTTAGCTATGACAATGAACAAAATGCCTTGTTATTCCTTCTTTATCTCCCAAGTTTCTAGGACACTTGAACTATCCCACACCTCCCTGTGTGGTTCTGACTGCTAAATAAAAAGGCAAAGTCCTGAAAAACACATAACCAAATATTAGACCTTGTAGATTTTTGTTCAGTTTGATATGTACATACTGACCAGCTGATACCAGTTTGAATAGCAGTGATACAGTTTGATTGCAGTTCGATTGCTGGTGATACAACACAGCTTGCGAGACTGAACTGAGAAAAAGTTCTTACCACAATTATTGGTCTCCCTTTTCATATACATGTGTGAGTTAAAATACGTTGAAAAGGGAAATATTTCTGTTATTAGTCAATACCATGAGTTCTCTCATTTGGAGCATTTGCCAACACTCATGAAAGTGTTGGGGTTCCCCTGCAGTCTCTCCAGTCAGTCCTGTGTTTTTTTTACTAGATGAAGGACTTGCATGGATAAGCGGGTAGTTTAATGGGTGCTAGTCTTCTTTCAGCTTTTCTCTAAGAGAAGACAGTGTCTGCTCAGAAGTTCTTCAAAGGACACCACAGTTTCCTTCTCCCCATCCTGAGGGCTCTTCCCTAATTTTTACAAAATGTGCAGAATACAGTGAACATGGACAAGAAGGCATCTCATCTCAATGCTGTTGTTACCTCCTCTCCTGCTGTTACCTCCTGTATTCACACCAGTTCTTACCATCCAGCATCAATGCCAGAACTTCTTTTGGCTTGCATTTGTCTGTGGGACGTCCCTTCAGAGTACATTCAATAACGTGGAGGAGAAGACTATATAAAATCCAGACAGCCCTTTGTGCTTTAAATTATTCTGACCTCCCTTGAGACTCTGTCAATTGCCTAGCAGTTGTTTTGCTAAATCTGTTCTGTTCTTCTGCTACGTTTCCGAAATTGAATGAGCATTTAGGCTTTCCCAAAGCTAGAGAAATTACAGCAGCCTCAAACTGGAAAACTGTATGAGATCCACAGGGCTTGTGCTCAAGCCTTGCCCACTCCATCCTTGTGTCATCCTGACACTGGAAGCTTCCCTGCCCTAATCTCCTGCTGTGGGTTTCGGTTCACTGGGAGGATATTCTGAACGAGTTCACTTGTTTTGCAGGAAGTACAGGAGAGATAATGAGCGTCGGTGGAAGAAATGGTCTCATATACCGCCTGAGGAAATCTTGCCTCTGGAGACCAGTGAGACAAACCATGTTAGTTTGAAGGTAAGAGAGGCACAACGCCTGAAGCTGGGTCTTGGATTCTGTCTTATAAAGACCATTGATGCTGGAGTGTTTGCATGATCCAACCACAACGCAGGCTATGGCTCTTGCATAACTAGGATCTGTTAAAATTATTTATTTTATTTTGTTTTTAACCTTTACTTGGTGTATTGAAGGAAAAAGAGATTATTCCCCATCTATTGCTCCCTAGTACAACATATCTGTTACCCAACAGTAAAGTTCATTTGTGACAAGGGAATGGGCTGGGTATTGATTTCCAGTCTCTCTTCCACACTGCCATTGCTACAAATGATTTCTCCGTGCTTTGTTATGCTTCTTTAACACCCAAGAGCAACAGGTGGAGGCCATGGGAGTGGCATGGATGTCCCACACTTTCTGTGGCACGTAGTGGCACTCCTTAGAGAGAGAGGTTTATGCTTCTCTGTGCGGCACACACTGATATTACTTATCTGTCTGGACCTGCCAAGTGGGAAGTAGGTGATAATTGCAAGTTAATTATTCTTCTTTGTTCTCAGATCGATGAAGATAAGAGACGTGACACCATTCAAAGATTGCGCCAAGGCAAATATGACAAGAAGGTAACCTGACTGCAGTGTCCCTGCTCCCTTCCTTGGCTTAACAGGGCTCTTTTTGGGAGGAGGTCACTCCAGAGACAATTCCCCACCTTGCCTGACCTTGCAAAATGGTTTGATTTTATGGAAGGAATAAGTAATTTATTCCCTATCAGGTACTTTGCATTTTGCTAACTGGCAGGAGTCAAAATATTAGACTCTATTCATCCCTTGCATAGTCCAGAAGTGCAGAAGCAGAAACAGAGGGACCAAAAATCTGATACATTTTTGTACCAAGGAGATTAGTGGATTAATGGAGGACAGGCCATTTACATAGCAATTCTTGTACATTCAGTAGAGCTATCTGCCTGACTGAGATATATTCATGTTGCTTTAAAATTTGCATCATTGAAAGTTCTAAATAGGTCCCATCTGCCTGGTAAATCTTTTGAAAGAAATACAACTCCATGACTTATTAGCTAACTAACTGAAACTCCAACAGCAAAGCAGCAGGCAGGTGTTTCTGAAGTATTGCTTTCTATGGACATTTCTTGGAAAAGAAGGATTAATTACTGCTGTACTAAACCTATAACTCTTTTCCCTTTGTTATTTTTTCTTTAGGTGGTGATCCTAAAGGATCTCAAAAACAGCGATGGTAATTTCTCAGAGAAGCAGAAAATAGAACTGAACAAGGTAACTGTTGCATGCAGCAACTGAACGCTTGCAGGGTGGGACGGAGTCTATGAGTGAAGTCATTGCGTTCCACTGTCAACTCCAACAGCCATATCCTTGTGCATGTTTGTGAGGTGGACAGGTAGTGAGTTCGTCAAAGGATATTCCTTGATGAACTTTCTCTTTGTGTCTGTGATCTCATCACCAGATCAGAGTCTGAACTGTGTGCCAGTGAAGCTGAGGATGAATGAAATAATTCATTCTCTGTCATACGGCCTTGCTAAACATATTTTTATAGCTGATGCTAAAAGGCAATGCACTTGTTTTTGCTCATATCGTGTTAATTCATTAGTAGCAGAATGTTGTAGTTAAATCTTATTATTGAATGCCAAGTGCAGCTCTTTAAATATAAGTAACTCTCTGCTGACTTGTGCATAAAGACTCTTCCAACATGAGAGATGAATTTGGCTGCAGCACTGCATCTTTTTGAATGTTTTTTCTTTTTACATAATGCAGATATACTGCGACTTCAATAAGCTCTAAAAATACCTCAAAGTAAACTACAGTTGTCTAAATAAATCAACAAAGCCCATTATATCTTCCAGCATCATCAAATTTTTATTACTTGCTCATTTGCTAATGGATTCACAACATTCTGTCACTCATAATGGCTATTCTGGTCAACTGGGAGGTTTGAGTAGAGAGGCAATAATGGAGACTACAGCGGGCTCTGGAATTAACTTGCATTATCCACCAGCAGCCACTCTTAGCTCCCTAATCCAGAAGGCTCTGGAATGACAAATGTCTTTAAGTACTTCGCTCAGTGCCTTATTACACATCACTTTAAAAGAACCTCATACATCTTATCAGGGCCTGGGATATAAAGCCACATCACCCAAATATTCTTGACCTGTGTTTCTTTACTAACGATTGCTTTTAAAAATAGATGCAATGTTTCTGTTCTAGCTCCTACAGATTGATTATTACAACCTGACCAAGTTCTATGGCACTGTGAAGATAGACACCATGATCTTTGGGGTGATTGAGTACTGCGAAAGAGGTTCTCTGCGGGTAAATAATTATGCAGGTCTCCTTCCACCCCCAAATTATCATATTTCAAAGTAAGGAAAAAAAAAGTTGCCATCTCTGGCTCTGGCTCTCAAGCAGCATCCATGGACTGAGCAAGTGGTGGCAGGTCTCTGACTCTTGAGTTCCCTTTCCCTCGCTTGGTTCTCTCCAGCCTTCCCCAGATGGTGTTGCGGCTGCCATCAGTTTGGTGGTTCTCAGCAGCCAGAGGATGAGGTGAGGTGCAAGAAAAGAAAAGCACAAACAGAGCTCTGCCCCGGCAACAGCAACAGCCACAGCCACAGCCACAGCCAGTATTTGTATCATGTCCCTTGTTGGGAGCATACAGGATATAACTTTATATTCCAAACTGTAGCTGTTATCTCTGCTGATGCCCCTGTGGACCCCACAGTCCCCCCGGAGAAAGTGAAAGGACAGAGAAAAGAATATATTCCATAGTAACAAGAGACAAACAGTTTGAGGCTGGAATATGGCAGACTCTGTGCTATAAGGGACAGCAGCCCTTCATTTCTGTGTATAAAAAGAAATGGTAAATTGATGCCTGGCAAGAGTTATGGAAAGAGTTATGGTTTATTACTACCAATATTATTTCAGTGCTAATCATGAAGTAATGCTGGCATACACTCTTCTGCAGGCACACATTGTCTTTTCTTCTGTGTTCCTACAAAGACCCTCATCAGTAGCAGTGGTCTCTGGAAGAAATTCACAGCAAGGCAGCAAAATAACAGCTCTATCTCTAGTTCTTTTCTTGTAAACTGGCATACTCATGGTGGGTTACTTTTAGCAACAGAAATAACAGTGGCTGGAAGAACTGTAAGTGACTGGCACTTCAAGATAAAAGAACCGTCTACTTTGAACTTACAAGGCCATAAGTAAATTGGTAGGAAATGGACTGTGAGCACAAACCACAGAAAATCCTCTCCACTCCCTTTCCTCTCCTTTTCTTTTCTCTCTCCTCTCCCCTACCAAACCTTGCTCATTTCTGCCTCACCTATTTTGTTTTAGAGGCAAATCCACTATTTACCTTTAATTACACAAAAACCTCTTTTCTGGCATCCTCAATTTTCTAATTCTGTGTAAATTTGAAGTATATTTCATATTCCCTCTTTTCTGAGTAAACTGCTGCTCTAGTGCATGTACCCCCTATAAAATTGAAGGCCTATCTCTTTCAGTCGCTGGTTGAAAGGCTGTGTAATGTAGATGCTCCTATCGCATCTTCTCCTTTTTCCCTGTTGCAGTTTAGAACCACTCTTTTCTTCCCTTCACAGGATGTTTTAAATGATAAAATCTCCTACCCTGATGGCACATTCATGGACTGGGAATTTAAAATCTCCGTCATGTATGATATTGCCAAGGTAAGCAGGCTGCTGACAGTGCAATGTTGATCAACATGTTCTGTCTTGCAAAATGGATCCTCTGGAGAGGAAAGCTCTCAGGCTCTTCTCCGTTCCTTGCTAGAGGACGTATGTCTTTCCGCTCTTTCTTCCTCTGGAAATAGGTGTATGAAGAAGGAGGAGGTAGTGGCTCTTTAAACTGAAGGGGGAAATGGGAGCCAGAGCTGGCTTTGGGCTCTTTATAAATAAACAAATAGAATATGCCCTGAAGAAATGTGACCTAAAGATCAGAGGGTTACAATCTGTTGACCAGTGACTCTGATTAGTAGGGCCTGTGCAGTTACAAGACCCGCAAAACACACTGCTCTCTGGCCCCAGGCAAGGTATGTAAAAGAAAACTGTGGTTTTTCAAAATGATGGAATTATTCGAATTTGTATCTAGAGACAGGAAAAACTTTTTCTAAAGAAAATGTTTATTTTGCAACCTGATTTTCTCACTCACTAGAGAGAGAAACTAGAAACTAGAACTATCCATTTCAGTTTGAGAGAGAGAAGAAATTAATCCTGTACAGAAGCCGAGACTGGTTTCCAGTAGCTTTCAATAGATCTTTACATTTTAGGTCCTCGTGGTAGGAAGACTCCATATGAACAGTAAAGGAAATTCTACTCTACATTAGAGACTTGTATGTGTTTAGCTGGTAGTTAAGGAACCTTTATAAGTCAAAGGTATAATAATTCATTATACCTCTGCAAGTAATGTAGAGAATTACTTCTGTTGTTTTGCTAGTGTTCAACTGCTCTCCTCATCCTGTTGCTGGTTTGCAGTTGGACAG